CCCACCCTCTGCCTCAGTTTCCCCTCTGCACAGTGGGATGGAGAGTGTCCCCAGACGCCCTCGGTGAGGATGAAGTTCATGACCCCACCCTCTGCCTCAGTTTCCCCTCTGCATAGTGGGACTGAGCGTGTCCCCCCCAGACACCCACAGTGAGGATGAAGTTCACGACCCCACCATCTGCCTCAGTTTCCCCTCTGCACAGTGGGACAGAATGTCCCCCCAGACGCCCACGGTGAGGATGAAGTTCACGACCCCACCATCTGCCTCAGTTTCCCCTCTGCACAGTGGGATGGAGAGTGTCCCCCCAGACGCCCACGGTGAGGATGAAGTTCATTCTTGACCCCACCCTCTGCCTCAGTTTCCCCTCTGGACAGTGGGATGGAGCGTGTCCCCCAAGACTCCCACGATGAGGAAAAAGGAGTTCATTTGTACCAAGCACACAACCAGTTCTCATAACAATGATAGTTAATCAGATGACCATTGATATTCTCGTTAATTTTTATTCATCAATCCACAGAGAAAGAGAGGGGAGAGAGGAGAGACAGACTGAGAGAGACAGAGACAGAGTGGGGGAGAGACAGACACACAGAGAGGGGGAGGGAGAGGGAGGGAAAGAAGGGCAAGGGGCCAGCCAGCGAGGAGACGCGACTGACGCTGGGGGAGAGACCAGGAGGGTGAGGGGTCAGAAGCAGAGACCCCCGGGCGGGGCGGGGAGGGGCCAGGCCGAGAGAGGCGGGGGAGGGGCACAGAGTCGGGGTACCCAGGGATGGGGCACCGGAAATACAGGGGCGGCACAGCCACAGTCCCCCAGCGACCCAAGTCCCCAGGATGGAGGTGGCTGAGAAGATGGACAGATGTGGAGAACTTCAAAGGGTCTCCCTGCAGATGCCCCCCCGCCCCCCACAGAGGCTGCTGAGCTGGAAGGGGATCTGGGGGTGAATGGCGGCTGGAGTCATCCCCCTCCCATCCCCCATCACCGGAGGGGCAAGGGCTCAGGTCCCCAGGGAGGTGAGGTCACAGCCCCCCCACAGTGGGACATGACTTCATCCCTCAGGTGAGAGCTCACTCGGTTGGTCACGGCCACCCCCTCCAGGGCCCCCCAGAGGCCCTCCCGGCCCCTCTCCCGCTGGGACCCAGGCCTCCTGACCACTGGGTCTCCGCCCCTCAGGGGGCCTGTTTCCGGCTGAGTCAGTGTGGGGGGCCCCTGGGCTGCGTCACTGAGGGGAGAGCTGACGTAGCCCCCCCCCATGGCTGGGCCGGCCGAGGTGACTCAGGCCACCAGCCTGGGGGACGGACTGGCCCAAGGCAATGGGGGCACTGGACCTGGGCCAGGCCAGAGCGACTGTGAAAAACAGCTGTCTTCCCGTCACAGCGACCCCATGTGTGTCACCGGGAGCAGCTACAGGGGCTGGGACTTGGAGTCCTTGCACCTCAGGACCCGGGGAGCAGGACATCCTCCCTGAGCGTGACCCCCAAACCTCCTCCCTCAGAACCAAGCGTCCTGACCCTTCAACCTCCTCCCTCAGACCTGGGCGTCTGGACCCTGAACCCTAGTTTCAAGGGCTATGGAGCAAACCCTCTTGGCCTTCTGCAGGTTGGGGAGCACTTTGTGAGGGGTGGTGGGGGTCCTGGGGCTGGTCCGCTCCCTCACTCTTGCCTCTACCCCCACCCCGACTTGTGGGCTTGTGGGGTGAGTCCTCCCTTCCCTCAGTGTGGCTCAGGGCAGCGTCAGGTGGAGGAGGGCCGGCCGAGAGCGGGAGTGCTGAGGGAATGTTCTGGAATGTTGGGTTTGCCCTGGGGTGGGGACACCGGCCACCTCTGTGGAAATGAGGGTCGAGACAGTGGGACAGACGGATGAAGGACAAGACCCAGGATCTGAGGGGCGGGGGTGACAGAGAGGAGACAGACAAGGGAAGATGCCACTAGAGAGTGACAGAGACAGACAGGAGGAGCGGTCACGCCAGAGAGCTGGACGGGTGGTCCAGGCAGTGGGGAGGGGTCTCGAGGCGGGGGGCACGGACCCAGGGGCCTTTGCCCCTCTGCTGGCCCTGGACCAGGTGGGGATGACCGGGTGTGAGGTCAGCAGGTCCCAGGCTGTATGTGTCCGTCTGTCTGTCCCTGGGGGGTCCTGTCTGGCCTCTGGGGGGTGACGGGGCAGGTCAGCCGCAGAGGCAGCCCAGACCTGTCATTAGCGGTGAGGGCCGTGACGGCAGCCCCCCCAGTCCGAAGCCACGGCCCCGGGCCAGGCGGCCCCACCCCCCACCCCCTCCTTGATCCCTGCGGAATCCGGGGAATTGGGAAGTGGGTCCGGCTGATGTTGACACAGGAAACAGTGGCAGCTGCCCGGCCTCAGCCCCGCAACCCCGCTGACCCCCACCCCCGGCCCCCTGCCGAGCCCCCTCTGACCTGTGTCATCGGTGACGGAGCGGCCAGGCCCACTCAGCACCCACCAGGATGTTTACGGAGGGAAGCTGGGCGCAGCCTCACGTAGCTTCAGAGAGACGGGGGGCCGGAGGCCTGGGGACTTCTCCCTCAGACCTGGGAGTCCTGACCCCCGGCCTCTTCCCTGAGACCAGGAACCCCGACACCAGCCCTCCTCCCTCAGACCCGGGAGTCCCAACCCCACAGCCTCCTCCCTGAGACCCAGGAGTCCTGACCCCCCAACCTCCTCCCTCAGACCCGGGAGTCCTGACCCCCGGCCTCCTCCCTCAGACCAGGAACCCCAACACCGACACCCAGCCCTTCTCCCTCAGACCCAGGAGTCCTGACCCCACAGCCTCTTCCCTCAGACCAGGAACTCCAACACCGACACCCAGGCCTCTTCCCTCAGACCAGGAACCCCAACACCGACACCCAGGCCTCTTCCCTGAGACCAGGAACCCCGACACCAGCCCTCCTCCCTCAGACCCGGGAGTCCCGACCCCACAGCCTCCTCCCTGAGACCCAGGAGTCCTGACCCCCCAACCTCCTCCCTCAGACCCGGGAGTCCTTACCCCCAGCTCCTCCTCCCTCAGACCCAGGAGTCCTGACTCCCATCCCCCTCCTCCTTGAAATCAGGAGCCCCAATCCTTGGCCTCCTCCCTTGGACTCAGGAGTCCTGACCCCCAGCCCCTCTTCCCTCAGAGCCAAGAGTCCTGCGATCCACCCCTTCCTCCCTTAGACAGAGAGCCCCAACCCCTCTTCCCTGAGACCAGGAACTCCGACACCGGCCCTCCTCATTCAGACCCGGGAGTCCTGACCCCCCAACCCCTCTTCCCTGAGACCAGGAACCCCGACACCAGCCCTCTTCCCTCAGACCCAGGAGTCCTGACCCCCAGCCTCCTCCCTCAGACCAGGAACCCCGACACCTGCCTTCCTCCCTCGTCCTGACCCCACAGCCTCTTCCCTCAGACCAGGAGCCCCAACACCAACACCCAGGCCCCCTCCCTCAGACCCGGGAGTCCTGACCCCACAGCCTCCTCCCTCAGACCAGGAACCCCAACACCGGCCCTCCTCCCTCAGACCTGGGAGTCCCAGGATGCAGTCCTTTCTCCCTCAGACCCAGGAGTCCTGACTCCCGTCCCCCTCCTCCTTGAAATCAGGAGCCCCAACCCTCGGCCTCCTCCCTTGGACTCAGGAGTCCTGGCCCCCAGCCCCTCTTCCCTCAGAGCCAAGAGTCCTGCGATCCACCCCTTCCTCCCTTAGACAGAGAGCCCCAACCCCAAGCCTCTTCTCTTGGACCCAGGAGTCCTGACCCCCCTCCTTACTTAGATCCAGGAGTCCTGACCCCCAGCCCCTGCTCCCTCGGACCTGGGAGTCCTGACCCCTGGCCTCCCTTGGACCCAGGAGCCCTTGCTCATGGCAGACACAGCCTGAAGGGGGCCGAGACACCACCCCAGGGCTGCCGAGCTGAGCAGACCTTCACGGTGGGCGAAACGAGGGCGTCAGGGGACACGGCCCAGACCACCCCCACCCAGCTCCAGCTCCTGCCTGCCCTCCCCCGCCCCCGAGTGGGAGAAGCAGGCCTGAAGGTGCCTGGATGGACCTCTTGGCCTGTTTACAGGTGGGAAAACCGAGGCCCAGCCCGAGAAAGATTCCCCGTCCAGTGCTCTCAGACCTTAGCCGCCTCCTCCACTCAGCCCCCAGCCCCTTCCTTTGTCCGTCACTCCCTAGGCCACGGGCCTGCTGGGGCTGGGGTCCAGCAACCCCTCAAACTGCTTCTTGGGGAGCGGCGGGGGGATGAGGTGGCTCCCTAGTCAGGGCTTTGGCTCAAGGCTGCTGTACCATCAGGGTGACCCGGTTACTCAGGGGGGACCTGCCCTAACAATGGGGCTCAGTGAGGCCTTCCCAAACCTCAGGGACCCCTCCCCTGGTTGTCAAGTGTGAAGGCTCCCTAGCAACCAGGCCCACCTCCAGGTCCTTCTGGGGCTCCGGGTTACTAAGGAAAAGGACTCCATAGCAACACCATCCCCCAGCTCTCCGCCACTGGGGGGTGCCCTAGTCTGGAGCAGATGCCTTCAGTCTGCTCTGGGGGGCAGCCCAACCCCTCCCTCCAAAGCCCCTTCCCGCTGGTTGCTAAGGAGGTCACTCCCCAGCAACTAGGCATAACCAGGCTCACAGGACATGCCCCCCCACAAAAGGGACCCCATAGCAACAGAACTTGGAATCTTGGGGGCTCTGGGTGGGCGGGGCCAGCCGTTGCTGGGGGGATAGGCAGCGCACCACAGAGGCCTCAGGGTCTGGAGGGCACCATGGTGGGCTCGGGCATCTGGGCTCTGAGCCTCCTTCTGCTGGTGCAGGGCTCAGCGGGTGAGGGGCCGGGAAGTCGGGGCTGAGGACAGGGCCACGGCTGGGCCACACAGCGCCCAACACCACCCCTTCCCTCTCACAGATGGAAATGGAATCCAGGGGTTCTTCTACCCATGGAGTGAGCGCTGGCTGAGAGCCCGCGGGTCCCCGGGGCCAGGCCGGGGGGTCGGGACTGCGGGTCCGAGGGAGGAGGGGCCGGGGGTCGGGCTTCCCAGATCCGAAGGAAGAGGGAGGGGGTCGGGACTCCGGGTCGAGGGGGGACAGGCTGGGGGTCGCGATCCCCGGGTCTGAGAGAGGAAGGTCCGAGGGAGGAGGCGCCGGGGGTCGGGATTCCCGGGTCCGAGGAGGGAGGAGGGTCCAAGGGTCGAGACTCCGGGTCCGAGGGGCTGCAGAGGCCAGAAGCGGCCTGGCGCCTGAGCCCCTGGAGCCTGGCCCGGCCCCGCTGGCCTGGCCCCGGCGGAAGCCGCCTGCCCGTGCCCCCCAGGTTGTGAGGGAGACGTGTGGGACCGGGAGAGCTGCGGGGGCCAGGCGGCCATCGAGAACCCCAACTTGTGCCTGCGTCTCCGCTGCTGCTACCGCGACGGCGTCTGCTACCACCAGCGACCGGACGGTGAGGCCCGCGGCCGGGGCCCCGGGCGGGCTGCGGGAGCGCGCGGCGGCCGGCTCTGAGCCCCGTGCCCCGCAGAGACCATACGTCAGAGGCACATCCGAGCGCTGGGCTGGACGTGCGGCGGCCTGCTGCTGCTCATCTGCGCCGTCTGCCTGTTCTGGTGAGCGGGGTCCGGGGCGCCCCCGGTCCGCAGGCCGGCGGCGCGCTGAGCCCGCGCCCTCCTCGCTGCCCCCAGGTGGGCCAGGCGCCGGGACGTGCTGCACCTCCCGGGCTTCCTGAAGGGTCGCTGCGACCTGTCGAGGACCGTCTCGCTGCTGTCCAAGGAGAAGGCGTCCGTCAGTCAGAAGAGCTCCGTGAGCAAAGTGCTCACGTCCCAGCCTCAGGAGAGCACCCTGGACACGTCGGGGGCCACCGAGGGGGAGGGGGAGACTGAGGGGGGGGAGGAGGAAGAGGAGGACTAGGGGCACCCCGGGGGGCCCCACAATATAGACCTAGTTTATGGATGCCTAGTCTCTTTTCTGAGGGTCATGGGGAGCAGGAAGAGCTGGGAGCTGGGTGTGCGTGTGTCGGAGGGGCTGGGGGAGCAGAGCGGAGGCGGCTACAATGATGGGGGTCCCGGGCTGTGAACATGGTGGGGTGTGGGCTGAGGGGGTGTCGTAGACCGTATGGGGGGTCCCGGGCTGTGAGCATGGTGGGGTGTGGGCTGAGGGGGTGTCGTAGGCTGTATGGGGGGCCTGGGCTGCGAGCATGGTGGCGTGTGGGCTGACGGAGGTGTCATAGGCTGTATGGGGGTCCCGGGCTGTGAGTGTTGTGGGGTGTGGGCTGAGGGGGGTGTTGTAGGCCATATGGGGAGCCCCAGGCTGTAAGCATCATGGGGTATGGGCTGAGGGTGTGTCATAGGCCATATGGGGGGCCCGGGCTATGAGCATGGTGGAGTGTGGGCTCAGGGGGGTATCATACATTGTATAGGGGCCCCAGGCTGTGAACATCATGGGGTGTGGGCTGAGGGGGGTGTTGCAGGCTGCATGGAGGTCCGGGCTGTGAGTACAGTGGGGTTTAGTTTATGGGGGTTCCTAGACTGTGATCACTGAGGTGTTTGGAATGAGGGAAGTTTGGGGGCATAAGAGGATCTAAGCAGAGACAGACCTGTGAATCGGGGGCCGAGGCTGTCATGAAGGACCTAGTTTAACGGGGACCCAGGCTGATTTGGGGGAGGCTCAGACTGTGATCATGGTGTGGGTCTGGGCTGAGAAGGGTCTGCAATGAGGGGCGTCTGGGGGTGAGTGTGGGGGAACCTGGGCTGAAGAGAGGAAGGGGTGTCTGGACCAAGGGTAGTTGGGCTGAGAGGTGCCTGTACTGGGCTGGGGGGGGTATCATGGCCACAGAGATGGGCCACCCAGCCGTCCTGCACGGGGAACACAGCCCTATCTGCTCATTCCTGGAGCCCCCCAACTCCCCGTGGTTGCTCCCAGGCCGTGGGATGACCCCAAGGGACGATGTTGGCTCCCAGACCCCCCACTGTCTGCACCCAAATTTTCTTGGAACTACATCACAGCTGGAAACTCCCCCTGCCCAACCCTCCATCCATCCTTCCTCCCTCCCCCTTCCTGTCCCCCTCGCGCAGGCGTGAGACCCCAGAGATGTCTGGAGGTGCCTGCAGCGTATTCCTCCATGTGTTTCTGCAGTAAACAGCTTGCAAGTTCAAGCCCATCAGTGGTGTCTGCTTCTCAGAGGACCAGATGAGCAGGGGGAGCTGTGCCGAGGGAGCTCGGGGGGGGGGGCTGGGCATGGACCTCGCCCCTGTTCCTGTTTCAGTAGGTGAATGGTCAGCAAAGCTGGGCTCCCACGTCCCCTCGTCCCCTGATGGCACGGACAGCCCATCCACACCTGTAAGGAAGAAACGGACCACTCCAGCCCTGACTGAGGCTCGTCCCCGTGCCAGACAGACACACAGACACACAGAGCCTTAAGGTAGAGCCGTTTATCCATGTGAGGAGCAGAGGGAGGAGCGGTGGGCATCCTGGTGGCTGGGTCTTGGGGGCCGCCCATCTCAGACTGGCTCCGACAGGTAGGGCTCTGGGGTCATCTGCAAGAGGGAGGGTGGGGTCAGTGGCTGCTCAGTCCACCCTCCATCCCTGGGTCCCCAGACCCACCACAGAGCGGCCCGGGGGCAGGGGGCAGGGGGCAGGGGGCAGGGGGCGGGAGCCCTGTCTGCCTGCTTTACCCCTCCCCACACTCATTCCCAGGTTTGTTCATTTGTTCCTGCATTGTCTTCAACATGATGGGGGTAAGATGGGGAATGGGAGATGGAGAAAGGGAGAGATGGAGAGACTCAGAGAAAAAGACAGAGAGAGAGGGAGAGACAGGAAGAGAGACTCGGAGAGACAGAGAAAGGGAGAGACAGAGAGAGGGAGAGACAGAGACAGGGAGTGCGGAGCTGGGAATTCCTTGGCATGGCCCTTCTGGCCGTGGACTTTGATTCTCTCCTGATGACTGGGCCGGACTACACAAATGTGAGGTACCTGTGTCCCCCACCCCCAGGGGATTGGAGAGCTTGCTAATAATGGCAATAAGGTATGTGGCTCCCTTGTGGGGGTGGGACCATGCGAATAAGGTGTCTGGAACCCTGACGCGGGGATTGGTCAGTTTTGTTTTCCTGTTCGACTTGAAAGGAGCCCTCCCAGAGGCCGAGAGGGGAATGTCACTACCATGAAGAGAGAAGGGCCAGGAGTGGCGCGCGTCCTTGACCCGAGACCCGTGGGCTGCACCTCAATCCAGGAGACAGCAGAGACGGCGAGAGACGGCGAGGAGCAGAGGCAGGCAGATGGCGGCAGCCGGGCAGCGGAGCCGAGATACCAGAGGGAGACAGAGCGGCGGGCTCCCCAGCCCGTGGAGCGAGAAAGCCGAGAGCCTGCGGGCCGAGGCCGGCTGGCAGAGCGGGGTGTCCCTGGGCGTCCGTCAGCAGAGCTACCGGAGCTTAGTAACACTGGCCAAGCAGGGCCGAGGGCCGAGAGCAGCGTGCCTACAGGCCCAGCTGAAAAGAGTCTGCCCCGATTCAAGAGCTCGATCCTGACTTGTTCCTGAACCCGATCTGCAGCCTGTTACTTCCCTAATAAACCCCATGGTCGCGAGTACTGTCTGGGAGTCCTGTGTGGCAGCGAATTCTGGAACCCAGCGGAGAGGAGGTGAGTGCCGTGGGGGGGCGGTGGTGTCAGGGCTGGGAAAAGGCTGGAGGGGGCCGCAGGTCTGACCCTCACCTCATAGGAATCAGCCTCGGGCTCATCCTGATCTTGATCCTCTTCTCCCTTGTGAACCAGAGGCGGTCAGACACCTCCCTGACGCCACACAGAGAGGGAGAGACAGGCTGAGAGAGAGACAGAGGGAGAGACGGAGAGAGTGAACAGACTGAGAGGGTGAGATAGTGAGAGACACAGAGAGCGAGAGACACAGAGACAGAGGAGAGACACAGAGAGGGAGAGACACAG